AAGGCTGATATGATCATGGTATGCCACAAACAATAGTTTATAGTCTCAAGCTTGATACTTATTGAGTTGATCTGAAAAGAGGAATTTGTAGCAAGCCCTAAGATGTGTTGATTGTTCTCCATGGAAAAGCAACGAAGATGAGAAAAAAATCAATGGAAGTTTGATACAATAAAGACTTTAAAAATAAATGAAGTCAAATTGTATTCACTTAATTGATTTTACAGTACATACATCAAAGGTATAAATAGAATAAAATATACAACCAAACTCCTAAGTATTAGCTATATATCTTTAACCATGAACATGTCTTACACATGTTGAATTGAAACGTTGACATGAAGTCTTAGACACGTGTTTGCAACCGTGTTTGGACACAAAGGTTTAGTCAGCGTTATTAGAAGTCATAAATGATTTTAAACACAATTAATTGAAAACATATTTTGGTCTAAAAACAAATAGAGTGTGATAGCTTAACTGTGAAAGCCAGAGATAGTGCAAAAGACTTATGAACGTAAAATGTAGAAATCAAGTTTAAGGGAATATTGTCTTTTTCTCCTTCCTCTCTCTTGTTTTTCTCTTTTGACTCATGTAAACTCTGGTAGGAAGAAGCTCTGATGATAGGGATTAGTGTTATGGTTAAAGGCATTTGTTTGTACCTATCATCCATAGCTTGCACCATTTGAACAATAATTTCTTCAAGAAAACACTAAACCATGTTTGAATAACATCTAATCTCGACAATCAACAATTTCGTGTATATAGGAACTTGAATTATAAAAGATATATCAGGGAGAAAAGTAAGAGCAACAATGGCTGGTCAGAGGAGTTCAAGGAGATGAACAATAGAGGTGACGGAGGAACAATGGATTGTCATAAAGGGGTTGATGGGTGATTTTATAAATTTCATAAACTGATTTCTAGATTTAAAGGTTATAAAAGACTTTAATTACTAATTACCATAATTAACCATAACTTAGAATACTAATCTACGATTACTGATTAAATTAAGGATTCAGAGCTTTCTAATTTTTGATTGGTTCCTACTTCCACACAACAGAAGTTGAGAACATATGGACGTCTCTCTTTCTCTCTATCTCTCTCTCTCTCTCTCTCTCTCTCTATATATATATATATATATATATATATATATATATATATATATATATATATATAGAGAGAGAGAGAGAGAGAGAGGAAAATCTCTAGAAAAGTCATAAAATTTTAGTATAATTTATGAAAAAGTCCAAAACAAAATTTAATTTACAGAAAAGCACAAAATACCGGTTAAAACTCCGAAAAAAACCCTTTTCGGCCGGTTTCGCAGATTTTGCCGGTATTCTGTCATTTTTCGTTAGTTTGCTCTAAATTTTGAGAGTTTTCCAAATATTACCTAATAACCAAAATATTAGGACTTTTTGAAAATTACCATGAAATTAATGGATATTATTATTAACAAATCATTTATAAACATAAAAATATTTTTATTAAAAAAAAATACATTTGTTGTGAATTGCTAGGAATAAATTGGTGGTGTAAGTACTCCTCTATTGCTTCCTGACCACTCAAACTCTCTACGTTCTTCCTATGCATAGTTGTGGGTATGATGGTGAGATGAACTTAGTTAGCATTCCTCTAATGTTGGTGTTCCTCTTATGTTGTTTAACCTAACTACCAACCAACATTCATACCTTACATGTTAACAACCATCGGCTAACACATATCTATAAAATGTGAAAAGTGAACCAATGATAATTTATATGGAAACAAGTGAAGGGTGATTATTTATTTAAATTGTCATTCAAAGTTTACTTTTCACTCTCGATAGATGTGTAATTTTGTGGTTGTTACCGGATAATGTTTGGAGGTTAGGTGGTAGTTAGGTTATAGAACATAATGAAAGACCTATATATTCGTGTAATCATATTTTCTAATAACACGTGATCATATAGCATCATGCCTAATAGCAAATAGACACTTATTTATTGTGTATTAATAAATATTATCAATTTTTCTGTTGGTCACGCTTTAGAGAGTACTTCTTATTATGACACCCACAACGATACATAGGAAGAACATAGAGATTTTGAAGTGGTCAACAAACAATATAGAAGTACATAGTCAATCATTCTATTCATAGAAATTAGCAAGAAATGTATTTCATTTGTGTATGATAAAAATTATTTTTTATGTTTATAAATGATTTGTTTATAATGATATCCATTAATTCCATAGTAGTTTTCAAAAAAGTCACATATTTTGGTTATCGGGTAATTTTCAGAGAAGTCCTAACATTTTGAACAAACTAACGAAAAAGTGACAGAATACCGGCTAAATCTACGAAACTGGCCAAAAAGGGTTTTTTCGAAGTTTTAGCCGGTATTCTGTACTTTTCTGTATACAAAAATTAGTTTGAGACTTTTTCATAAATTAAACTAAAATTTTATTACTTTTCTGGAGAGTTCCAGAGATATATATATATATATATATATATATATATATATATATATATATATATATATATATATATATATATATATATATATATATATATATATATATATATATTCTAATGTGTAAAAAGGTTATCCAAAATGATATGGTTGAAGTAAAAGTTGCTATCTCAAACCCTACTAATCAAATGAAACTTCATTATTAATTCAAATAATTAACATCTTTTATTTGTATTTATAAAATTATATTGATTATACTTAACTTATTAGTTTGAATATGTTTATATGTGAACCATTGTGATTTTAATGTTAATGTTGATAAGGGATTATTCTAAAACCACATCAAATTGAATATACACTTCTTTAATTACAAAATATCATTAATGCATGTAGAATTTTTTGTACCAACATAAGCCTAACTATCCATTAATAGATTTATTGCAGAAGCAGGTGTAATTGTGTGTATGATTAATTTTATATGTAATCTAACCAGCATGGATATCTCCTTTAGTGTTTATGAAAGAGGAAAAGGAAAGAGGGCGGAAATGCAAAATCCACTCATCATCAACCCTGAGAAGATGTGCACTACAAATTGGACAGTGGGGCAGAATATTGGGAAATTTTCATCTTTTCTGGTCTCAATTTGACATCTTCAATTTTCAAGTTAATGCTTTTTACAACTCGAATAAATCTTTAGGAGTTCATAATGAATCTGAGTACAGATTTGTTTCCTTTCGAAATAAAATTTTACGTTTATTTCCCTTCCAAAAAAAACAATCACCACATTTTAAGTTATATTAATAATGGGTGCACTTAATTCTGGGTATTTTTGGGATGGGTCAATGTTACATGCAGTTGTAACAATTATATATAAAAACATTGATATAGGTTACAGTGTTTTTTATTTGTGGTTTAACAACTTGTTTGAGTTTTTAATTAGTTATGGTTCTCGTTCCATATCACGTGAATCCTCTGGTAAATGAGAGTAAAGCGAACTTCTCTTTCTCTACATCAAGAATCCAAAAAGTAAAAGATAAGACTAAAACTGTATTATAGTTGTTAGACGTATTGTTGTTTATGATATCTGGTTTTGTATGTATTATTTGTGTGGCCCATTAATTGTATAGCCCTTTTAGTCATATATTGTAATTATATGGGTGGAAATCTAATATATGGGTGGAGATCTAATGTATTGTTCATCGGAAATAATCATTAATTAAAAATACTCTTTGGAACGAACCCTTTTCTAACAAGAGACTTACAATTGTGTTTGAATGAATAGTTTGCATTAGACGTCATATCCAACAAACTCGTACGTACATACCGAAATTCCCGCCTAAAGCTAGCTGATGGAGGTTGTTAGACCATTGTGTTCGAAGTCGAGGTTATATTTCATGTTTATGATGTAAATGTAAGTTAACCTCAAAGGTAATAAATGAATGGGATAAAGAAAAAGGAATTCGTGATGAGTATCAGTATTTTTTCTTTAAGACAACTACATTAATTATGAAGATTTTAGGGTTTTAGATCTTTGTCTTGATAGTAATTGGACATGTCGAAGTTGGTCTTAACAACCTCTATCATCAGATTCAATAATATCGTGAGTGATGAAAGATACCGCTTCTTGTATTTTTACAAATCAAATGAAAAATCCGGTGTATTAAAAAAAGGTTTGAAGCAGCCTGAAGGCATTAAAAATGCATTGATAGTATATACGATATTTAATTTTAGTTGACCTACTTAATCTATGTAGTTTAATAAGTCATTAATCTAAACTCCCGAATCCCGATACTATAAAGAATTACATTTCATTATCCATCCTCTTACCTAATTTACTTATCGTGTTCCATCTTCTTTTTCAAAAATCTTTCGCTGTCTAATTTATGGGATTAGATTTGTAACTGTATTGAAAGTAATATTTTCGTGACTTTAAAAAATTAATTAATATTGATGCTAGCTAGTATATACGAAGCAATCCTCGCAGTTCAATAAAAACGCGCGTGTGTGCGAAGTTATAATTTGCAATAGCATGCATGCAATATGTTAGCGTACGTTTTGAAATTCTCTTCCTGTCTGATGTTAAAATTTCGTATTGAATTATTTGCTTCTTTTTTTTGGTGGTTTATTTACACAATAACTTGAGCTTAGTCTCTTTATTCTCCTCTTGCTTTTGAAACAATAAAATCTATTTTGTGTTGTGTTAATCCATAACATAAAGAAGAGGATTCACAATGCATGGAGAAACACACACGGTCCCCCCTTAATTGATAAATTAAACTATATTTGTTTTCACAGAGATATTGGGGAGAGATTAAGTGGAGCAAAGTGATTTTGCTTTTGGGCATTATCGATCGAAGTGCGATCTTACATGGATAATTTCTCTATTTCCTTGCGTCGATTTATGTCTAACGCTTAAGAAAATAAATCTTTCCGATTTTATCTTTGATAGATTTATCTTTTCGGAAGATCTATTTTCTTAAAGTCGCACTGTACCAGATTAATTTAAATCAATCCGTTTACTATATAAAGAACCTCAAAAAAATATAAAACAAGACATTCCTTTGACTTGTCTATTAAGTAGAGAATACGTAGCTAAAAGCTTTCTAATCAATTTCAAAAATGGTTCAACCTCAATCGAAATTGGATGTTGTCATTGAATCTCCAACCAGCAAACACCAAGAACACGCAGTTAAGCCATATAATATTCAGAATCAAGAAAAAACGCAAAAGAAGCCATCAGTCATTGCGAACATTAATGCCAGCTATTTCAGGATTTGCATATCCCTTGCTGGTCAAGCTTTACTTTGGAAAACCCTTAGTGAAGACACAAACATGGGACCAACCTTTCGTAACTTGTTCTTGAAGTTACCATCGACTGCTTTTTTCTTGCTTTGGTGTCTTTCCCTATGCGTGTTGGTGTCTCTCTCTATCCTATATGTTTTGAGGTGCATTTTCTACTTCAACATGGTGAAAGCCGAGTTCCATCACCATGTAGGAGTAAATTACCTATTTGCACCATGGATATCATGGCTCCTGTTACTTCTATCAGCTCCATCATTCATTTTACGCCACAAATACTCTTGTGAGTATTTATGGTGGCTGCTTATCATTCCAGTGGTAGGTCTTGATGTAAAGGTATATGGGCAATGGTTTACGACTGAAAAGAGGTTTTTGTCAATGGTGGCTAATCCAACAAGTCAACTATCGGTAATAGGGAATTTCATAGGAGCCCATGCAGGCATTAAAATGGGGTGGAAAGAAAGTGGCACTTTCTTGTTTACATTGGGACTCACTCATTATATGATTGTTTTTATCACCCTTTATCAGCGTCTGTCTGGCAGTAATCACATCCCCTCCAAGCTCAGACCTGTTTTCTTCCTCTTTGTAGCTGCCCCGAGCATGGCAGCCTTAGCGTGGAAATCTATTAAAGGAAGCTTTGATATCCAATGCAAAATGCTATTCTTTCTATCCTTATTTCTATTTACATCTTTGGTAAGTTTGTTCCTCTCTATCATACAATCTATATGTCAACACATTTTGGTAGGTCTTGCGACAAACTGGTTTTGATTTTGGGACAAATGTGTTGTATGAAATAGGCTAGCCGGCCGATGCTTTTCAAGAAATCAATGAAAGAGTTCAGTGTGGCATGGTGGGCTTTCTCCTTCCCTCTCACCTTCCTTGCTCTGGCCGCCACAGCATACGCACAGCAAGTGAAGAGTCTCACAGCAACTGGATTAGCAGTAGTCTTATCAACAATCTCAGTTCTTGTTTTCCTCATCCTCTTGGTCTTTTCCACGTTGAAGATCGACTCCCTACTTCATAAACCTATTCTCAAATTCTCTAACGATTCAATATCCTACAATCTAAATTAATGTCTTTGGTGAAATAAGCTAGACATTAAGGGCATTCTGAAATATCACTATACTTAGTTAGTTATTATGCTTGGCTAGTTATCTCTTAACCATTTTCATGAATCAATACAACAATTGAAGAGCATCATGTATGTATATGTATCTACTATATCTTGATGAGTTGTTATTATCAATGTTATTTAAATGTAATGGGATTAATTTGTTGACAAAAAATAATCTTGATAAATATTAAACAAGTAAGGATGGTGTGGAGTACCCACTTGTTTAAGTTTGATCAAGTTTCAAAGTACACTATCATTTAAGGGCAAAGCCCTTGAACGAACGGGGGTCCGGGGGCAGCGCCTCTGAGAGCGGGGTCCAAGGGTTAGAGACCCTGGCTGGGGTCGAAAATCATTTTTTCAAAAAATTGACCATTGGTTTAACCCTTATCTAAATACCCGTTTTTATATAATTTATGTTACCATATTAAAAATGCATCAAAAAATCAGTTTTTCAGAGAATTGACAATTAGTTTGACGTTTATCTAAATACCCGTTTTTATGTTACTTCTAGTAGTTTTATGACAGTTTCAAACTATCATGTTACAGTACTTTTCAGATAGAGAACATAAATCGGTTTTTGGTCCCAATTTCTGGTAAATACGAAATCATATCATCAAAACACTATATGTTCTTGTCTCCCTAAGTCTTATCCGATTAAAGAAGATTGGGAGTACCACCCAAATATTTTAATCTGAAAGTGTTCAACATGATTCTCTGTATTTCCAAGTCTTTCTATACCCTAAATTCAAACAAAAATAAAGTATTTTTGGATCATGGCAAGTGGTGATTCTGTGAAGAACATAACAAGCAAGTTTTGACAAATTGGTAAAGTTTGATGGCCAAGACTTTCGTAGATGGCATAAAAAGGTGAAGTTTCTCCTTACCACTATGAAAGTGATGTATGATCTTAGTACACCAATACCAACCTTACCAGAATTTGTTGAAGATGAACATTTTGAGGCAACAAGGAGGAGATCAAAGTGGCAAAATGATGATTTTATATGTCGTAGTCACATTCTCAATGGTATGTTTGACTCTTTTTTTGATATCTATCAAAATATCGAATTTGCAAAAGAACTATCAGATTCCCTTAAATCCAAATATATGGTAGAAGAAGCTTCAAGTAGAAAATGTATGTTTAGTAACATCATGGGTTACAAGATGGTTTATTCCAGGCCTGTTATGGAACAATGCCATGAAATGTTAAGGATCGTAGGACAGTTTTCCTAACACAATCTGAAAATGGATGAAGCCATTATTATCGTTGTCATCATGGACAAATTACCGTCTTCCTGGAAAGAGTTTAAACACACTCTGAAACAAAAAAAATAAATAATAAAATAATAAAATAATAAAAAAAAAAATTAACTTTGGTTTAAATTAGAAGCCACTTACGGATTGAAGAGGCTCTAAGTACTTAAGAACTTCATAACTATCCTAAAGGCAAGAACCAAGTTGGTTCCTCTTCTATGAACATGGTGGATGGAGAATGTAACGCCTGTTTCAGGTATCAATTTATTTTCAGAATTTTAGGGTTTTAGAATGGAACTCGATGAGTTGGGGAACTCCAACTCATCAAATAGAGATCATTTATGGGAAGCAGGATTTAGGACCTACTCAACGAGTTGGAAGGCCCAACTCGACGATTAGGCGTTGTAAAGGAAACCCTAAATTTTATGGTTTGCACCCTATATAATCTCCTTAAAAAACTTGAGGTTAACCTTCCATCCACCTCCAAACCCTAAGAACGTTAGTCCTAAACCTGAATCTCCATTTTCTCTCATATTATGAGCTAGAGTGACTTTTGGATCTTAAGAAGAAAAAGATAGTGAGAAGAAGGAGAAGATCCAGCAAATAAAGCCCTCACTCTTGAGCTTTACCAACTTGTGGATTATTGTAAGCACTCAAGATTCGATTTTTATCTTGGAGTATGACTAGATCTTGAGTTTACTCTTCATTTCCAATCATTCTTGTCAATTGCATGCATAGGGTTCATAAAGTTTGCAACTTTATGAATCTCCATGGCAAAAATGGCCCCATGGTGGGCTAGATCTAGCTTTTGGTCAAGCATGGATGCCATGGATGGATTTTAGTGCATATTTTACCTATTTGGCTATTTTGACTTCAAGACAAGCATTGGACATGCATGTCCATAAGTCTCCATCTTTGGAACGTTTTGAGGATTAGAACCTCTTCTGGAAAGGAGGGATTCGAGATCCCTAGAGTCTTGAACCACATGGCTAAGCTTTTGAGTTTTCCAACTTTTTTTAAGGGCTTTAGAGCTTTTGGAGTAGTCCTAGAGGATAAAGTTTCAAACTTTATCCTTCTAGACACCTGTAGGTTTCAGATCTAAGCCATAGAGTCCCTACAATCAAGGTATCATCTGAATAAGAAAACAGGGGGAAAACTCAACGAGTTGGATCGGGTTTTCCCCGCCTATTGGATATTGAGTGAACTCGTTAAGTTGATGAGACAACTCGACGAGTTGGTTGGGGTTCGTCCCGATTTTCTGGACTCTAAAGGAACTCGATGAGTTGCTAGATGCACTCAAGGAGTTGGGGTCAACATGGAGTGTTGACCTTGATTGTTGACTTGGAATTTGACCAAGGTTGAGCAAGCTTGACCTTAAGGGTATTTTTGGTATTTTGGGATTTGGACAAGACCGGTCACATGATGATTGTAGGCAGCTATGTTGGATATGTGGTACATTAGTTGATGTAGTGATATGTGGTATGTTGGTTGGTTATATGCTAAGTGGTATGCTATTTATATATGTAATACTCGTAGGGAAGACTATAGGGGAGCCCATGGCACTTGGATGTAAGACCATGTGGGGGAGTCCATGACACTTGGATGTAAGACCATGTAAGGGAGCCAATGGCTTTTCATGTAAAGACCATGGAGGGAGAAGCCTATAACATCCTTATATGTTTGTAGGCATGGATTATGTGGTTTATGTAGCTTTTATATCTTATATGGTATATGTGATTGTGTGGAATGTGTGGTGTATGCTCTGGGGAACTCACTAAGCATTAGCTTACAGTTTGTTGATTTGTTTCAGTTACTTCTGAGCCCAAGGGCAAGGGCAAGGCTTGACGATGCGAAATGCACTATCTCAGACGTTTTTATAGGACACTTTGACAATTGAAATGAAATTGTTGATGTTATGAATTTGAAAACAAATGTTCTTGAGATTTTATGGTTTATTGGAAATGTTTTGATTATTTAAAAATGATTTTTTTTTAAATTGGGTCGTTATAAGTTGGTATCAGAACCTTGGTTTGAGGGATTCAGGCACACTCTTGAGTATGTCAGGACTGAAACTAAGGAAATGGTAAAAGTGTTTTCAAAAATAAAAGTTAAAAAATTATTAAATGGAAAAGAGGAGAGTGCAATGCGCATGATCGGCCGAGCCAAGTAAGTAGTTCCCCAATATGTTAGCCATGTTATACTGATATTTGAGTTATGATAATCGTGTGAATCTTGCTACGTGTATGCTTTCAAATATGTATACGATTAGGGTCTTATAGCCTCAGAATGATTGATTTCGCCTTATTTCCTGCTCCTTGTCTGGTTGTGATCTTAGGGTAGAGTCTCTTATTCGAAAGTCTATTTGATCCCGTTCTGTGTATAATTTGCATGCATAAGGCAACCCGTTATGATTGAGTTCTGATTTGATATGAATGGAGAAAATCTTAGGATAGCCTAGGATTGAGCTATGCAGTAGCTATGAGATATGTATGTTTTGGGACGAATTGGAGTTATCAGGTAGAGCCATGGGGAAGGTACATGTAGGTGTGGAAGGTAGTACTGGGCCCCTACTATTGAAAGCACAGGACCTATAACCGAACTAATGTTAGACCTGGAAGCTCTAAGGAGAACCGGTGTGGGAAGGTTACCCTTTTTTTGGACCTTTTGTCTTATGGTATTTCAGAATGGTGGTGCCACTGTTTGGAGCAGGGGAATCAGGATCATGATCCATATTAGGGTCGGGTGACACTACTGAGCCCATTGATGAGAGGTTGCGGGAACTTATTACATTCGAGGTTACGAGGGGCATCCTTGATGCTACCCCAGTGATTTTTGGGAAGGTCAAGGAAGGGATGATGGAGATTATGGAGGATAGGCTCAGGTTATTTAGAGCCGAGATTGTTGTAGGCCAGGTCGGGGCCCGAACTCCCTTGTTCCGAGAGTTCAAGGTGTGCGGAGCGTCGGAGTTCTTCAGGGTCAGGGACGCCATAGTTAGCCGATGTTGGGTGGTGGACATGGAGAACAACCAATGCACGATTTCTTGCCCTTAATGCGACAAATGTGGATTTGGCTTCATGTATGTTGAGAGATCGAGCCCAAAATTGGTGGGGAGAGGTGACTAGCCAGGTAGGGGCAGCCGGTGTGGCTGAAATGACATGGGCAGAGTTCGTCATGCATTTCAATTTGGAGTTTGCACCAGATATTGAGGTGTAACGGCTAATAAGGGAGTTTCATGAGCTCCAACAGACCACCGAAACTGTGGCAGTGATCACCGCCAAGTTTCGGGAACAAGCACTGTTGATCACATAGTATGCTACAGAAGAGGATATGAGGAAGACGAGGTATCATTCCATGATGGGGGATGATATCTGAGAGTTTTTGAGCATTACAAGGTGCAAAACCCTGAATGAGATGGTGGAGAAGGCCCATGAGTAGGAGATGGAGTTGGACTTTTGCACCAAGTGGAAGCCTGAGCAGGCGCAAACAGTAGTAAGTCAGGCTAAAAATCCTAAGACCTCAGATTCTTCAGTAGGGGCTAGTAAGGTCGTGGTCGGTGTGCTAAGTGTGGTAAACCGCACAGTGGGGCTCGTCGAGCAGTTGGCTCGGGATGTTATGCATGTGGCCAGCCGGGTCACTTGAGCAGGGATTGCCCCAAGAAGGGCTTGATTTGTTATCACTCCAACAAGAACAGCCATAAGCGGGTCAATTGACTGAGGCTTTAGGGAGGGGGAGGAGCAGTAGTGGCGCCTGCGCCCGCGCCCGCCACAATGAGGATCACTGATGGCCACCCTACTAAGGTGGATGTTCTAGTACCGAGCCTCTCTGCTACAATTTCAAGCCAATGGGAAACATGTGCAAGTAGTGCCCTAATTAAAAAGTTACTACGACTAGTTCAGATCTG